AGAGATTTTGGGTTTCCATTCATTCATTGTTGCACTATTCTCTCTACCCTCCTCCCAGTTTGTTCTTGTCCAAATGCCACAGTGCTTGTCAAAGGGGCATGTTTTTAAAAGGGAGTATTCCTTGGAAAAGGACATAATGCTAGGAACGGCAGAAAGTCAGTGAAAGAAAGGAAGACCCACAGTGAAATGGACTGACACAGTGACTATAGCAATGGGTTCAAGTATATCCGAGATGATGAAGATGGTACAAGATATGATAAGGCTCAAATCTGTTGTTCGTAGAATCACTATGAGTTGTACTTAACAGCACATTACAACAAAAATGCTGGCTTAGCTGTAAGGAGTTGCACTGCCAACCCAAAGGAACATGGTTCAAATCTACCAACCGCTCCTTAGAAGAAAGGACAATCACCTCCTGTGTGATTTACTGCCTCTGAAACCCACTCAAAGGTCCACTAGCTATGAATTGGTTCTGACCTGATGACATATAACAACAATATTAATGACAAACACTAAACCACAGATTTAAGCCACTCAGAGCATACACAGCTGCGATACACAAAACCAAAAAACAATGAGAAAATCTTGAAAGCAGACAAAACACATATTGCATACTTGGGAACACAGGTGAAATTTATAGCCGACTTCCTATTGGAAACCATACAAGTCAAAATAATGAAGTGATATCTTTATCACAGAAAGAAATGATTAACCCAGGATTCTACACACACAGAAAATATCTTAAAATAATAAGAGGAAATAAGAATTTTCCAAGCAAATAAAAAGGGAGAATATCCGAAAGGTGTGCAGTTTCCTCCCTTGTGATTAACTGCCTCTGAAAACCCACTAGAGGGTCAGCTATGGGCCAGTTCCAATTCTACAATATACAACACCAACAGCACTTAAAAGAAAAAAAGTTACAGGAAGTTCTTTAGTAAAAAAAAGAGTATTACAGGCAGAAACTCAGGTCTTTACAATAAAGAAAGTATAGGATATGGTACAAATGAAGAGAAAATTAAAATCTTATTCTCAATTTAAAAAATGCTTATTTGTTCTAAAACAACTATCTAAAGCCTATAGGAATGCATTTGTTTATAATATATGCAAAACAGAACGTATGACAATAACACAAAGGATGGTGGAGGGGTAGGAAGAAGGAAAAACTGAGACTTCACAGATGGCATCAAAAACAACTCATAGCTGACCCTCCAGTGAGTTTTCAGAGGCTGTAAATCACTTGAGAAGAGACTGCTCAAATTTTGTCCCCTGGAACAGCTGGTGGATTTGAACTGCACGTGGCTTTGGATTGCCAAGTGCAACTCCTTACCACTAGGCTGCCAGACAGAGTGCATGCTCTCTTGCTCACTCTCTCATGTGATCTCCTTTTGCAATCAGGTCTCACATACTTTGGACATGTTGCCAAGAGGGACCAGTCCTTAGAGAAGGACATCATGCTTGGAAGGGTATAAGGTCAGCAGGAGAGGGAGACCATGGAAGAGATGGGTTGATACAGTAACTGGAGTAAAAGGGCTAGGTATGTTCGAGACAGTGAGACTGGAATGGGATAGGGCACAGTTCAGAACTATTGTA